TGACAGCCACAGTGACCCTGGTGACTGAGCCACAGTGACCCTGATGACTGAGTCACAGTGACCCTGGTGACCGAGTCACAGTGACCCTGGTGACTGAGTCACAGTGACCCTGGTGACTGAGTCACAGTGACCCTGGTGACTGAGTCACAGTGACCCTGGTGACTGAGTCACAGTGACCCTGTGACTGAGTCACAGTGACCTGGTGACTGAGTCACAGTGACCCTGTGACTGAGTCACAGTGACCCTGGTGACTGAGTCACAGTGACCCTGGTGACTGAGTCACAGTGACCCTGGTGACTGAGTCACAGTGACCCTGGTGACTGAGTCACAGTGACTCTCAGTCCACAGCAGGATTCGAACCTGCACATTCTGCCTACTATGATGCAGTGTGAAGGTAAGAATCTTGCTATGGACTGAGAGATATATGTAAATAACTGCACCAGTTTGCGAATTGTTAAACATTCCATAATCTATAGTATTATTTTTTTATTATCACACTGGCCGATTCCCACCAAGGCAGGGTGGCCCGAAAAAGAAAAACTTTCACCATCATTCACTCCATCACTGTCTTGCTAGAAGGGTGCTTTACACTACAGTTTTTAAACTGCATCATTAACACCCCTCCTTCAGAGTGCAGGCACTGTACTTCCCATCTCCAGGACTCAAATCCAGCCTGCCGGTTTCCCTGAACCCCTTCATAAATGTTACTTTGCTCACACTCCAACAGCACGTCAAGTATTAAAAACCATTTGTCTCCATTCACTCCTATCAAACACGCTCACGCATGCCTGCTGGAAGTCCAAGCCCCTCGCACACAAAACCTCCTTTACCCCCTCCCTCCAACCTTTCCTAGGCCGACCCCTACCCCGCCTTCCTTCCACTACAGACTGATACACTCTTGAAGTCACTCTGTTTCGCTCCATTCTCTCTACATGTCCGAACCACCTCAACAACCCTTCCTCAGCCCTCTGGACAACAGTTTTGGTAATTCCGCACCTCCTCCTAACTTCCAAACTACGAATTCTCTGCATTATATTCACACCACACATTGCCCTCAGACATGACATCTCCACTGCCTCCAGCCTTCTCCTCGCTGCAACATTCATCACCCATGCTTCACACCCATATAAGAGCGTTGGTAAAACTATACTCTCATACATTCTCCTCTTTGCCTCCAAGGACAAAGTTCTTTGTCTCAACAGACTCCTAAGTGCACCACTCACCCTTTTCCCCTCATCAATTCTATGATATCATATCATAGACCCATCCGTTGACACGTCCACTCCCAAATATCTGAATACATTCACCTCCTCCATACTCTCTCCCTCCAATCTGATATCCAATCTTTCATCACCTAATCTTTTTGTTATCCTCATAACCTTACTCTTTACTGTATTCACTTTTAATTTTCTTCTTTTGCACACCCTACCAAATTCATCCACCAATCTTTGCAACTTCTCTTCAGAATCTCCCAAGAGCACAGTGTCATCAGCAAAGAGCAACTGTGACAACTCCCACTTTATGTGTGATTCTTTATCTTTTAACTCCACGCCTCTTGCCAAGACCTTCGCATTTACTTCTCTTACAACCCCATCTATAAATATATTAAACAACTACGGTGACATCACACATCCTTGTCTAAGGCCTACTTTTACTGGGAAATAATTTCCCTCTTTCCTACATACTCTAACTTGAGCCTCACTATCCTCGTAAAAACTCTTCACTGCTTTCAGTAACCTGCCTCCTACACCATACACCTGCAACATCTGCCACATTGCCCCCCTATCCACCCTGTCATATGCCTTTTCCAAATCCATAAATGCCACAAAGACCTCTTTAGCCTTATCTAAATACTGTTCACATATGTTTCACTGTAAACACCTGGTCCACACACCCCCTACCTTTCCTAAAGCCTCCTTGTTCATCTGCTATCCTATTCTCCGTCTTACTCTTAATTCTTTCAATAATAACTCTACCATACACTTTACCAGGTATACTCAACAGACTTATCCCCCTATAATTTTTGCACTCTCTTTTGTCCCCTTTGCCTTTATAACATACGTAAATTACCTAGGAATAACACCCCTATAAATAATAAAGTTAGTGGCCAATTTCCACTGGTGTGTGTGTGTGTGTGTGTGTGTGTGTGTGTGTGTGTGTGTGTGTGTGTGTACTCACCTATTTGTGGTTGCAGGGGTCGAGTCTTAGCTCTTGGCCCCGCCTCTTCACTGGTTGCGACTGGGTCGTCTCTCTCCCTGCTCCATGAGGGTGTGTGTGTGTGTGTGTGTGTGTGTGTGTGTGTGTGTGTGTGTGTGTGTGTGTGTGTGTGTGTGTGTGTGTGTGTGTGTGTGGTGTACTCACCTAGTTGTACTCACCTAGTTGAGGTTGCAGGGGTCGAGTCCTAGCTCCTGGCCCCGCCTCTTCACACTTCACACAGTGTGTGTGTGTGTTAGTTACCATTTTGTCCTAGGCACATGTCGATTAGACACTAGGCCTGTTGTAGGTGTTAGTTACCATTTGTCCTAGGCACATGTCGATTAGACAATAGGCCTGTTGTAGGTGTGTAGGTGTGTGTGTGTGTGTGTGTGTGTGTGTGTGTGTGTGTGTGTGTGTGTGTGTGTGTGTGTGTGTGTGTGTGTGTGTGTGTGTGTGTATTTACTCTGAGGAGATAAAAATACCTTAGACCAACAAATCTTAGTGTCACACAGACACACATCCCATGTCATGACCTGGTTCACTAGCATGGTACTCTGCATGACGCTCCTCACATCCCATGTCATGACCTGGTTCACTAGCATGGTACTCTGCATGACGCTCCTCTCATCCCATGTCATGACCTGGTTCACTAGCATGGTACTCTGCATGACGCTCCTCTCATCCCATGTCATGACCTGGTTCACTAGCATGGTACTCTGCATGACGCTCCTCTCATCCCATGTCATGACCTGGTTCACTAGCATGGTACTCTGCATGACGCTCCTCTCATCCCATGTCATGACCTGGTTCACTAGCATGGTACTCTGCATGACGCACTCATCTTTGACCTCACCAAGGTGACCTTCACCTAATTCCCAGCTGCACCAGCCTGGCGAGACGTGCCTTACCCCGCCAGGGTAGTATGGAAGCATTTGTGTCATATTCATGGGACAACGCTGAGACCGAATCGGGAAATAATCAGGTTTAATCCGAGAAAAGGGGAGGGCAGCTCCAATTCCTTGGAGTAAGAGCAGGTCAGCAATAAGGCAGCCTCCGGGAAGAGTGGGGAGATGAGGTTCCAGGATCGTGAGAGTGGGAGAAAGGGGTAGGGAGGGGATCAACACTCCATGGTTCCAGCAATGAAATCTTGCCAGCACCTTCACTTGCCTCTTTCCTTACCTCTTCCCTGCCTTTCCTTGTCTCTTCCCTGCCTTCACTCGCCTCTTCCCTGCCTTTCCTTGTCTCTTCCCTGCCTTCACTCGCCTCTTCCCTGCCTTTCCTTGTCTCTTCCCTGCCTTCACTTGCCTCTTCCTGCCTTCCGTCGCCTCCTCTCTGCCTTCTCTTCACATTTTTGCCTCTCCGAGTATTGACTAATGTTTATTATGGTTTAAATCACTAATACTTGTTTCTCATATAAATTATTTATATTGTTACACCTTACGTAATCTACATCGTAGGAATCCAACAGTGCCAATATAAAGATTTAACGATGATTACACAAAAACCCATAATAAGCTTATTACCATTAAGTCCTCCTTATTTTAACCGTAGCATGCATAAGGCTGTGTACTGAAGTTATAGTATTAAGAGGCACCTAACTTCTCCCTATCTTATAATATGTTCATTTTTTTTCACTATGATCTACCCTGTCCATAGTTACTATCGCAGTTGCTTAGTTTGTTACGTAAGGTGAAGTCTACGATCTTTTTTTATAATTCGTGGTAGTGTAAATCTTTGAGTACAACTGTGTTGTAGAGGTGTGACCTTCACTCAGACCTCGACAACACAAGTCATCAGAGATTTGTTGAGTTATACCATGAATTAAGCAAAGATTCCAGACTTCACCTAGCGAAACATAACAAATGTGGTAATAATTATGGACAAGGTTGATTATAGTGTAAAAAATAAGTATGTTATTATAAGAAGAGGGAAATTAGGTGCCTCTTAAGGTGTTCGTGCTACGTATGTTTTAATTCTGGTGTTCCAAATGATGACTCAACCTTCCAATGAAGGAGAAGGTTCGACGAGTGCCTTTAAGTTTCGTTCACTTCCGGTTAGTTTATCTTCCGGAAACGTAGTGTTTTAGCCAGATGTTGTTGCATGGTTTAGCTCTAATATATATAAATAAGTTAGCATCATCCAGGACGTCATAACTTCCACATAAATCTTGTTTTATCGTGTTTTAATCTTAAAACAATGTGAACGAAATGATTTGTTATCATGTCCTTGGCATCGGTCACGGTCAGAAAGGTTAGTCCAGCGAGACAGGCTCTCTCTATAGTTTTATCAAGCTGTTGGTGCTTGTGGGAACACACTCTACACTTATCACTAACTAAAACATAATAAATCATTACTATTATTGAAGTCAAGTGCTAACCGAGCCATCACAGCATCAGGGAAATAATCAGGTTCGATCTCAGGGACGGCAACTCCAATTCCCCTAATCAAGAGCTCTTCGGTAGCATCAAGGCAGGTCCCTTGATAGACATAAAGGGTGATAAGTGTGATAGAGGGAGAGTGTAGGGTACATACTGCCAGCTGTTAGGTGCCACACATCTCCCTGTGACAGCTGGAGCTCAGGTGAGAAACAATTCCCTTCCTTTCACGCTAATTTACCATCATTTACCCACCAACACAGCACAGCTGCATACCTGAAACATTCCTCCCTCATACCTCAGCCCCGAAATGATGCCTCCATAATGAGGAAACAAATCGTATTTCCCCGGAAAAGTTAACCAAACGCGAAAATAAAACTAGCCCAAGGTTGGTGAGGGTGCAGCCAGCAGCATGCTGTCTCCAGTTAGTTGACGTCGACCAGTTATGTGTGCTGTGTGGCTCTTATAACTACCCAATTCTACCCACACAACCTTGTATTATCCACCTTATCTTACCTGATACTAAGTGATAATTGTGATGGATGTGTTATCCTAAATGCGGGTGTGGGAGAGGTTATGGCGCTGGTAGGTATTTTCAACCATATTTGATTATTTTTTTTTTGTTTATGTGACGTCGGTAACAAACTGGAAATTGTAAATGTGAGAGTGATTATTGAATAATGTAAGTTAAGTCTTATGGTGATGGTGGCAGGTTAAGATGGAGCTTTCACCTGCAGCTTGGCTAGGTAGTGTGACCTGCAGTAGTCTTGGTGACTTGCAGTGGTCTTGATGACCTGCAGTGGTCTTGATGGCCTGCAGTGGTCTTGATGACCTGCAGTGGTAGTGGTCTTGATGACCTGCAGTGGTAGTGGTCTTGATGACCTGCACTGGTAGTGGTCTTGATGACCTGCACTGGTAGTGGTCTTGACCTGCACTGGTAGTGGTCTTGATGACCTGCACTGGTAGTGGTCTCGACCTGCACTGATAGTGGTCTTGATGACCTGCAGTGGTAGTGGTCTTGATGACCTGCAGTGGTAGTGGTCTTGACCTGCAGTGGTAGTGGTCTTAGTGACCAGTGGTAGTGGTCTTGATGACCTGCAGTGGTAGTGGTCTTAGTGACCTGCAGTGGTAATGGTCTTGACCTGCAGTGGTAGTGGTCTTGATGACCTGCGGTGACAATGGTCTTGGTGACCTGGAGTGACAGTGGTCTTAGTGACCTGCAGTGACAATGGTCTTGGTGACCTGCAATGACAATGGTCTTGGTGACCTGCAATGACAATGGTCTTGGTGACCTGCAATGACAGTGGTCTTGGTAACTTGCAGTGACAGTGGTCTTGGCGACCTGCAGTGACATTGGTCTTGGTGACCTGCAGTGACAATGATCTTGGTGACCTGCAATGGAAATGATCTTGGTGACCTGCAATGACAATGGTCTTGGTGACCTGCAGTGACAATGGTCTTGGTGACCTGCAGTAACAATGGTCTCGGTGACCTGCAGTAACAATGGTCTTGGTGACCTGCAGTGACAATGGTCTTGGTGATCTGCAGTGACAAATTCTTGGTGACCTGCAGTAACTGATCTTGGTGACCTGCAGTGACAATGGTCTTGGTGACCTGCAGTGACAATAGTCTTGGTGACCTGCAATGACAGTGGTTTAGGTAACCTACAGTGATAATAGTGGTCCTGGTGACCTGCAGTGATAGTAGTGGTGACTTCAGTGATAATGGTGACCTACAATGGTCGCAATGGTCTTCCTAAAGTGGTCTTGGCGACCAGCAGTTTTTGGTGGTCTTAATTCGTAAGTTTGTTGTACATATTTGGATAAAACGTCAATGAGAGTTATTTGAAAAACGTTGAATTACTCGGCAATTTGCTAGAAAACTTAACAATAATAGAAGTGTGTTCATTAGTCTTGTAACAATGATGACTGACTCCAGCATTATTAGTGGCGCCAGTAAGCTAACATAGTGCTCCACAGCCTAGTCTTCCAGCGTTAAGAAGCCTAGTGTTCCACAGCCTAGTCTTCCAGCAATAAGAAGCCTAGTGTTCCACAGCCTAGTCTTCCAGCAGTAAGAAGCCTAGTGTTCCACAGCCTAGTCTTCCAGCAATAAGAAGCCTAGTCTTCCAGCAGTAAGAAGCCTAGTGTTCCACAGCCTACTCTTCCAGCAATAAGAAGCCTAGTGTTCCACAGCCTAGTCTTCCAGCAATACGAAGCCTTGTGTTCCACAGCCTAGTCTTCCAGCAATAAGAAGCCTAGTGTTCCACAGCCTAGTCTTCCAGCAATAAGAAGCCTATATTCAAATTGTTAATGCCGGAGAGTTAATAACCCAAGAAAGCTAAGCAGTGTGGCCTATTTCCATTGTGGTCGTTAGGTACTCTTCTCCAGGATGCCACTCACAAGAGTCAGCTAACACCCAGGTACCTATTTACTAGTACGTGAACATGAGCCATACGTGTTACACTTGCCAGGATGCCACTCACAAAGGTCAACTAACACCCACGTACCTATTTACTAGTACGTGAACATGAGCCATACGTGTTACACTTGCCAGGATGCGACTCACAAAGGCCAACTAACACCCAGGTACCTATTTACTAGTACGTGAACATGAGCCATACGTGTTACACTTGCCAGGATGCGACTCACAAAGGCCAACTAACACCCAGGTACCTATTTACTAGTACGTGAACATGAGCCATACGTGTTACACTTGCCAGGATGCCACTCACAAAGGTCAACTAACACCTAGGTACCTATTTACTAGTACGTGAACATGAGCCATACGTGTTACACTTGCCAGGATGCCACTCACAAAGGCCAGCTAACACTCAGGTACCTATTTACTCGTACGTGAACATGAGCAATACGTGTTACACTTGCCAGGATGCCACTCACAAAGGTCAACTAACACCCAGGTACCTATTTACTAGTACGTGAACATGAGCCATACGTGTTACACTTGCCAGGATGCCACTCACAAAGGTCAACTAACACTCAGGTACCTATTTACTAGTACGTGAACATGAGCCATACGTGTTACACTTGCCAGGATGCCACTCACAAAGGTCAACTAACACTCAGGTACCTATTTACTAGTACGTGAACATGAACCATACGTGTTACACTTGCCAGGATGCCACTCACAAAGGTCAACTAACACCCAGGTACCTATTTACTAGTACGTGAACATGAGCCATACGTGTTACACTTGCCAGGATGTGACTCACAAAGGTCAACTAACACCCAGGTACCTATTTACTAGTACGTGCACATGAGCCATACGTGTTACACTTGCCAGGATGCCACTCACAAAGGTCAACTAACACCCAGGTACCTATTTACTAGTACGTGAACATGAGCCATACGTGTTACACTTGCCAGGATGCCACTCACAAAGGCAAGCTAACACTCAGGTACCTATTTACTAGTACGTGAACATGAGCAATACGTGTTACACTTGCCAGGATGCCACTCACAAAGGTCAACTAACACTCAGGTACCTATTTACTAGTACGTGAACATGAGCCATTCGTGTTACACTTGCCAGGATGCCACTCACAAAGGTCAACTAACACTCAGGTACCTATTTACTAGTACGTGAACATGAGCCATACGTGTTACACTTGCCAGGATGCCACTCACAAAGGTCAACTAACACTCAGGTACCTATTTACTAGTACGTGAACATGAGCCATACGTGTTACACTTGCCAGGATGCCACTCACAAAGGCCAACTAACACTCAGGTACCTATTTACTAGTACGTGAACATGAGCCATACGTGTTACACTTGCCAGGATGCCACTCACAAAGGTCAACTAACACTCAGGTACCTATTTACTAGTACGTGAACATGAGCCATACGTGTTACACTTGCCCATGTCTCATTTCCGATCGTGAGAAATAAACGGTAACTACCAGGAAGTGCTATTAAATAGTAACCGAGTTTACAGAAATATTATCGTGATGTAACCGACGTATTATATTCACAAGGAAGCGCTAAATCCGCAAGTCATACAGCACCTGGAAATTGGAAGGCAAATCAGATTTGATGGAAGGGAAGTTTAGCTTTAATATGGATCAAGAGAGGCAGTTAACCCATTCTGTTGTTGCCCTTTTAAATATTCCAGCTGAGAAAAATAGGCTTATGCTGAGAAAAATAGGCTTATACGTTTATTTTAATGTGTTAGAGTTAATTATAAACATCTCTGTAGGACTTTATGTAATATAACTTACCTAAAAAGACATTTTCCAAGAAAATCCTATTTCATGATGGCTAGCGTTATCAAATATTATAAAATAGAAGCGCTAAACCTACAAGGGTCATTAGTGTTATCAAATAACAGTGTCACTCCCATAAAAAATAATTCTCTGCGATTCAAATTTATATTTAACATGGTAATTTACACTAGTCAGTATTGCTTTATTTAGTTCGTAATTTTGAGTTGGTGTAAGTTGTATCATGTACTTGTGTATAATGGCGGTCACAGTGGCCATATAGGAAAGGGGTGAGAATATAATCTGAAGAGGGGGCTTGGGGGGGTGTCTTGGTATTGTGCCTTTTTATTCTTTATTATTATTATTTATAAGGGTTTTGAGGGCTGATAGAATTTTTTGGGGGGCTTGAGCCCCCCTTCGCACCGCCGCTGCTGGGTCAGCAGGTCATGTGGGTCAAGGCTCTTAATACAATCTTATATTTTAGACGTTTCTCTCAGGACTTAGCTTTTATCAAGCTGATTCTTTATACCTGATGGTATCAGGATGAGGGTCGTAAGAACATTTTCCTGTCCACCTCACACTAGTCGGTGGATTTTGCTTTTGGTAATTTTCTTCAGGAACACTGGAGGGCGGTGCCTTCATGCTGCTGAAGAGAAATTGGTGGTCTTTTCCCTGGATTAAACTTTACCGCCTCCCGTTTTCCTTATGACTTTCGGGTTTTGAGGTTAAATTGATAATAATTCAGACGTTGTATAACCAGTCAAGGTTCACCAAAATACGAATGCTAATAAATTAATATACATTTAACTTATTGAGGGACCGGTAGAGAGCGCATCTGTGTAATTACCTATTTTATGCCTTTGGAAAGGGTGCCTTGACAGTGGTGGGACTCTTGATTCAGGGAATCGGAGCTACTCTCCATTACCTTGGATCAAACATGATTTTTCCCATTCTGAATTCACGAGGCGCTATATGACTCTTATATAGCTACCTGTTTGTATCTACAGGAAAAAAGTTAATTAAAGTTATTTTGGGCTGTTTTTTATCAATTTACAAGTGTAGTTTCCAATGCGAAAGTCCGGGTTCTCCTCGTTAGAGTTTATAGAGCCAATGACAGCTTACGCCGTAAGGAAGTCCGGGTTCAGTATGCTAGTTTGTTCTTAAGCTTGGAGTCGGATGTCAGATTCAGTTTACCTTCTTGAGGTCAGATTCGGCTATCCGGATTCAGGATGCTGTTCTTGCTTATTTTCTTGGACGTTTATATTGCCGAATCTAATATCCAGGATTCTCTATGTTCTTGTTTATAGTTATGCTATTTAGTGTAGACAAGGTATAAGACAGTGTAAATGGATTTCTGCATGGGTGT